TTTTCCTATAGATTCCTTGAATAAAGGAGCCCAGGGTGATGGTTCTGTCCCAGCACTCCTGCCTCCAGTCCTGGGCGCACCCCCCATCCCCCCACATACTGCCGTACCTTCCTTTCTCAGCACTTCAGACCTTCTCGCTCCTTTCACTCTTTTTACAATATCTGTCGTATTCCTTCTGTGGACCCCTGCTGACCTAGCCCCTGAGGAGCCATCAGTCAAGAAGTCACATGGTGCTCCTGCCCTCACAGGGCTGACAGATGAGAGGGGGCAGACAGCAAAAGCATCAGAGAGTCAGCAGAAGAGGCTGTTTAAGGTGACCATGGGACTGTGGGGACGGTATTAGGGGGGCTGGTGGGGGTGGGGTGAGATGGTGCCTGGCTGAGAGACCTGCAGGGACCAAAGTAGGGGCAGAGGTAAGTGTGGCTGGAGAGCCACACATGATGGGGGAGGGGAAGGAGAGAGATGAGCCTGAGTGTGTGCAGGTAAACTGAGGTATGGAGCTGGCTCTCACTCTGAGGGAGCTGAGGCCTTCAAGCAGAGGAGTCAGGAGGGTCCCTCTGTCTTATGCCAGGCAACAGGCGGTGGAGGACACTGAGGTACCATATGCTTCTGGGGATTCTTCTCCCTGCCTCTCAGCAGGGCTCTGCCCTCCATCTGCCCCTTGTTAGGGCATAGTGCATTCTGCCATCTGTCAGAGGAGGGTGTGTGCACTAAGCCTCAGGGGGCCAATGAATCCCAGGAAGATTGGTGCTGTTATCTGGCAAGTGGCCCCATGGTGTTTCTCCCATTCCCAGAGGTGACAGTAAGCCGAGGCTCCGGGCCAGTGGCGTGTTGACAGCTTGCTCAGGGCCTGAGACCAGGCTGCCTTGGAGCTGTCCCTGGTGGCCAGCTAGGCTTCAAGCACATAGCATGACCCCAGGCAGATTTGTAAAGTGACTTGCCCACCCTGGGGTGAGGGTGCACGATAAAAAGTCCAGGCCTTGGAGTCCTCCGTTCCTGGACCAGAGTGCAAGCCTGGCTCTGCCACTGACTTCCTGACTTGGGGGCCTCGGACCAACTCTTGGACCTCTCTGAGCCTAAGTTTCCTCTTTGGTAAACTGGCACTTACATAGGATGAGGAGTTCTGTGCTGTTCTTAGCCAGGTGGCCTGGTGCCTCTCGCCTCCCCATAGCATGAAGCTGCAGGGCAAACTGCAGTACAGGTGTGTCATGGTGGGTCAGCTCTCCCTGCCCCTCCACTCCCCTCCCAGCCTGGCACTTGTCAGTTACTGGGTAGGTTTCTTTATCGCTATCAGCTCCCACCCGGGGCCTCATACATGCATTAGCTAAGGTCTCTTCTGAGCCGTCTGGACACTGTGTGCCTTTGCCATCGATCAGCTCTCTCTGGCAGTCCAGGGAGATGGCTGGGGAGCCTTGCTCTCTGCCGGTCTGTGGGGGCCAAGTCTGCAGGAGGCTAATTGACAATCCTGATCGGGTTTGGCAGGCCCATGCTTTCTGCACTCTTCTCAAGTGGCTGATTTTCAGGTCTCTAAGAGTGCTGGGACCTCTCCTGCAGCCACCTCCCTTCCTGGTCCTCTACCTTCCACCTGACTGTTCCAGTGGGAAGGGCCATCTTGGTGCAGATGTCATGGGAGAAGCTGCAGAGTGGTAGCAGAAACAGAAGCCATAGAGGGATGTGTGTCCCTGTCCCATAGCCTTAGTGCCTGGAATGACACCTGGCTCAGGGAAGCAGGGTCCCCTCACTCTCTCCACCCTGGCCCTGGTGCTGTTCTCTTGCACGTGTCCCCAGCCACATGGAAGTCTCTGTTGGGTTTTATTTTCTTGATGTTCTTTTTTTTTT